TTCTCTTGATCATCGAACGCTATCGAAATCTGATTAGAATCGGAGTATTCATCAAGAAAGCAATAATGGGAGTTACCTTTAATCTCTCAAACATCTGATCAAGAAATAAAGGGAAAAATGATCCTTCCGAGTAGCAGTGTTGAGTTTGTGATAATCAATGAAAACTCTCTATCCCATAATTGTTCTAGTTGGAATTAGTTTATTCTTCTCATTTTGTATCATTGTGATACTTTCTTTTTTCAGTACAATCTGAGCAAGCCTGATCAATGCACTTTTGAGAGAGGATAGATGATGCCTACATCCAAAAGTTTCAACACTTTTACTCTAACTACTTCCTTCATATTTGGGTTGAGTCTTCGCTGATTGTCAATTTTACAATTGAAAATTATCCACCATGAGAATTTTATACAAGTAAAGTGTAGGCCTGATACCTCTAATGTTAGCTATAGACTACCCAATAGCTATCTCATTCTCTTTAAGTATCCACGACAATCTCTCTTCGTCAAGCTTACTGATAGAATTTGCAATAATGGCTACCAATGTAGAGGGTTTACCCAAGTAAGCATACTGGAGATGAGGTAGCAATTGTTTAAGATCTAACTTAAGAGCTTGTTAAATTGATGGCAAAGGCTTTGTAGAACATGTGCCCAAGTTCTTAAAGTGTGGTCTACGCATATATGGAGGATTAGCTTCAAGATATTTTAGTTCTCAATATTACTAGAATTAGAGTATGTGGATTGGGAATACACAATATGCGCCTCATATGGATCAGATAGATTATGCAATTGGAAGGTGTAGTGAGCTGTACTGTTAATCACGTCAATCTGAAAGCAACTATCCGACTTAGTAGGGCATTTCAAGGCTTTGAAAATATTAAACGCGACTTGCTCCTCACCAACCTTCAAAATTAGCTAACCTTTTTACACATCAATAAGAGCTCTTCTAGTGTAGAAATGGCCAACCCATTATAAGTGGAACGTTCCTATCTTCTCCATGTCAAGAATAAGAAAATCATTTGGAAAGATGAATTTTTCACTTTTATCAGGACATCTTCAATAATTCCTCTTGGATGTGTGATGGACTGATCTACTAGCTTTAGAGTTACTGTAATTGCTTTAGCTTTCTCGAAACCTAGTTTTCTAAAAATAGAGAATGGAATAAAGTTAATGCTTACACCTAAATCATACAAAGTTTTATCAAAACATTTCCTATAGGGGAACATAATGTAACGATTCTATGGATCTTTTAATTTTGAAGGTAACTTATTCTGTATTTTAGTACTACATTCCTCAATCAACATCGTCGTCTCATGTTCGTCCATTTTGCATTTTTTTAGATAAAATATCCTTTAAGAATTTTGCATTACTAAGCATCTGAATAAGTGCATCAGCAAAAGGGACGTTGATGTGAAGTTTCTTGATGGCCTCAAGAAATTTTAAACACCACATGTCTAACTTGTGCTTTTGTAGTCTCTGAATAAGTGCTTTTACCTTAATCGGTGGTGTAACTGAACTCCATTTGGTAAATAATTTTGTTATTTGTTCAGTCTGTTCCTCATCAGTAAAAGGTACTTTTTTCATTTGCAGCTAGTCTATTAATGCGAATCTCAAGTAACTAGACCACACCGATGCTAACTTTCAGTTGGACTAGGATGATAGCATGCCCTCGTTCCCCATTTTTCCAAAATTTAATGTGTGGAATAGTATATTTTTGAAGAATGTGTTGTTGAAAAAGAATAAAAAGTTTTCGATTTACGTATAATATTATTTTAAGAAAGATTGTGTGATTAAAAATAAGAGAGGAAAAATGAAAAAGAATGGGGGCCAAACGAGAGCCAAAACTCAATCATGATATCAATTTGCCTTTAATAATTGAGTGGTTAGTTGGTAAGGTTCCAAACATTAAACAATCGTTAATTCAATAGTAGAACCCCAATTTATTATTGCTTCAAAAATAGCAAATAGTTGCAATCTAGATCAAGAAGTTCATTAATGAAGTTGGAGTAGTTCTTAACATTATTGATCCCACAACTTTGTATTGTCATAACAATGGAGTCATTGTGAAAATGAAGGAACTAACGTCTCATCATAAAATGGTATAATCTCATTAGAAATATCATACAAAGAAATGACGTAAAGAAAAATTGAGTTTTCACAATAGATAATATTTTAGATCCACTAACAAAGAGTTGTCGCAATAGAAACATGATCGTCATGTATACTTTTATGATATTAGATACATAGGTAATTGAATTTAGTGCAAGTTAGAGTTTGTTGGTGTTGTACCCTAGGTCCAATTGATTTGGATTGTAAATACTTTTAATAGGATTAATGCATTTTATTTATGGTAGATCTATTATTTAATTGAATTAATATTCTACTGCTTTAAATAATAAAATCCATAAATTCAAGTCTCAGTAATGTGTTAATCACAAGAAGTTGTGATTGTATGATACAAATTACATATGACTGAATTTTAAATCATTCGTGGCGTAATAATAATGAGATATGGACATCATTATTATGGATAGACCACATCACATGTAACATATCTTGCTTGTGAAGTAAGTAGTTGATTTCACAAGTTAAAGTGTGATAACACTTAAATGAATATATGGACGTTTTATTAAGAGAACAGAATATTGGAGACCCATTGAAGAAATTCTACATTGATAACTATCTGATTGTAGTGATTAATCTTTAACATTCAGCAGTAGAATTGGTCTTTCGACTTGAGGTCATCATAATGCCTTATATGAGGACAGTCATAGTTCGATAATACTGTATTGTTTGGGTATGTCAAGAATCGTATGAAGATTGTAAATGATCAATAGATGATTCGTCACTCTCGGATAGTAAGAAATTATGATCTACATTTCATCCAGTTTAGTTAATAACGAAATGTTGACCAATGTGTACTCATAAGTTGAAAAAAAGTTTTTAAATTACTTTAACTTAATAGTGAAATGAAAGATATGATCGATGATCTAGATTGACACACTTCATATCTTGTAATTGGTCGGATCATATTGACGAAATGATTATAGTTTTACGATAAATGAGCAAGTTTGATTTTGTCATAATACATAATATTTCCCGTCACATGTGTTGTTCTTACATATCACTACGACAGATGTAAATTGGTTAATCTAGGGGATTTAATGACTTATGTATTAAATATAGTGATCGAAAATCTAATGGGTCACACACATAAGTAGAACTACAAGAATAAAATATATAATTAATTAGGTAACAAGTATTTTTTGATAATTAGTTAATTGGATTACTTATTAAAGGGTCAATTTAATTAATCAGATTAATTAAATTAATGGGCTAAGTTTAAATAATTAGATTAATTAAACATTGAACTGGATTAAGTTCTGGTGTCGGTGCCAAGTCCATTTGCAATTTTATTAATAAACTGTTAAGGTTTGAAAAATAATAACATACAATTATTATCTTGCTGGCACAAATCATAATTATCTCATTCTTGTCCCCTGTGTGGATTTTCATTGACAGCTGGACATTTGGACAGTTGTGGATTGCGGATCATAGTTGTTTGTGTTCAAGATTAGACAGGAGTTTGCGAAATTCAATAAAGGTATAATTTCTGTCATAGTTTTTTTCTAAACATTAAGAAGATCCTTAGTATAAATTGAAATATTATTTAAATTTCGCTACGCATATTAAGCCCACGTTTGGTCCTTCGTTCTCTTTAAAGTTGTTTTTTTTTTTTCAACATACAATCTTCCATAAAATATTTTTTTTTTTCAAACACGCATTCTTTAAAAAACTACTTTTTCAACTATTAAAATTTGAAAAGAATGGAGGCCAAACAGGGGCTAAGTAAATTCTCAACCGCACAGATATCCCACATTTGGAAGGAGGGCTGTTTAGCTAGCATTGACTACATGGAGAGGTGTTTCAAGATTCTGGGTCCACATGATTTTAAATATTTGAATAGAAGACAAATTAGACTACATAAGCTTCTATCAGATTTGTCTTGTAATACGGGCTGTTATCTGGTCTACCTTCAGTATTGTGTAGGCTTGTGAATTCAGCATCAATGCACATATAAGACATGTTTGGCCATTATTTTTTGCCACTTGCCCCTAATTTCCCTAGTGGTATAATTCGGAGATATAAGGTGAATTCTTTATTATTGTGTTGTATACTTTGTTGATTACGTAGGTAGAGATATCAGACCTCTCTCACTTGCGAAGGTCATTATATTTGAATATGCATAAATGCGTTTTCCAAAAAAAAAGAAAAAAGATTGTTTGTCTCATTTTTGTTATTTTATTGATATTAAATAAATTTTTTTTCCAAGTCAAAATCGAATTTACACTGAAAGGGCTATCAAATTAATGCCCTGCATCCGAAGAAGAGTTCTTTATGACAAATATACAAGAATACATAAAAAATAATAATAATAATTAAAGATTGAATAATGTAAGGGAAGGAGTTCGGCACCTATGAGGTTCGTAGCCTTGCTTTTTTATAAACATGTGCTCACAAATCTTCGTTTATTCTTTTGTGGGCTGGCTACAAGCCACTTAGTGTCTTAGAGAGCAGATCGTAAGTGAGACCGATTGTTCTCTAAACCAAGTCTAATAAGTAGAATGAAGATAACCCAATTCTTTTTTATGTAACTCGAACAAAAAATCGATCTCGCCATCAGCTCGACTAAGAAAAAATATTACAATGTTAGTTTTCTACTCAAGTTGTAAACAAGTTGGTCTCTACTCTTCAAGTTAGTAACAAAATGATCTTCAATTGATGAATTTAATCCATTTCACCATTAACAAGGCAAGTCAACCTTACGTCTAACCTTTTAGTGGGAAAAATTTAACCGACTATGAATTAAATAATAAAGAAGGTGATATTCTTTATGAAACTCAGATTATATATTATCTCTGCGCTCTCCTTGGATAACCCGTAGAATAATTAGTAAGCATAAACCAAAGGAAAAAAAAAAAAAAAACGAAAAAAAAGGCCCAATGAGAGGAATTACTTTATTACTATTTCCGACCAAATCAGACTTGGATCAAAGCCAGATTTTATTAATATTTCGTCCTTAACATTACAAACAACATTAACAGTACGAAACTGTCAGGTCGTGCACTAGGCTCACTGTAACCTTGATCTGGTGGTGCGGAAGTTAACAAGTTTCCAGTTCGCCTTTGCGTGGTGGAGGTCAGCCGCCAGTTGAGGTGGCTTTAGGTTATTCCGGCAGAGTGGACAAGTCCTGTGCCCATGTCGTACCCATTTATCTAAGCAAACTCTGTGATAAAAATGGTTGCATCTCAGCTCTCTAACCTCAGTCCCTTCGTCAATTCTGCATAAACAAACAGCACACTCGACTGATGAATCCCCAAACTCTGCATTATTAACGTTTTCATAACGCGTTACAGAAAGCTCATCAGTATAGTCTGGTGACTCAATTTCTTGAGGCCGAAAGAAGGATTGGAGAAGAAGGTAATCCCATGTAAACTGCAACAAGCGTGCAATAAAAATTATGTATTTCATTAATACAACAGAGCTTGGCTGCAACCTAAGTTGAATCATCTTATATATAGAATATATAGTTTCTTGGAAATAATGTTCTATTGCTGCAGATTGTTTTACAAGTAAAATGGTATTATGGCAGGGGCTGAAACAGGTATTGAGTTCTTGCTTCTTTATCTAACCTATATATAGAGGATATAGTTTCTCTCCTAAGACATTTTAGAGAGAGAAAGAGAGAATGTGGCAATAGCGACGTAATTTCTGCTCTTTCACACGAAAAAAGAAATACAATATTTTTGGAACATTTTTCACGAAGGCATATAATGTTCTTTTCAATAGCTTAAATATTATTTAATTGATTAGGTGACCTTCTTGGAACTTGCTCTATTATTTAAAAAAAAAAAAAATGAAAGATGGCACTCCATGATGGGAAAAAGTAACTCATAAAAGCTAGTCAATGAAAATTTGTCCCACGTTTCTAGTAGGTGCTATTCAATTAGATTATCATGTTTGTTCTTATAGACAAATATAAACACATGCCAATTAAATCGGAGAACCTTTGATTATTTGATGTATTAGTTTCAAATGAACCTATATATTTATCTTAATTTAAAATTCTGTTATAAATTATCAATCCTATCTCTCGTCATACTAAATAATAATAATAATAATAATAACAACAACAATAATACATAATTTACTTCCTTTTAAAACAAGAATAATGTTATTTGTATATAATGGAGTTACATAATAATTTACATACGGATGATGTGTCAAAAATATAGTGGAATTGTTCA